GCGAGATATCTCGTCTTTTATATATAAATATGCTGCTTGCGCGGCTATATAACGCGAGCGAGCCGCTCGGCTACTACCGCATATACTTTGAGTCAAACTCACCGAGTGTAGCTTTAGCTGCTGCTCTGTAATACGCGCGCGTGTGTGTGCTTTTTTCAACCCCTAATAAATAAGTTTATGAGACGGAGCGAGAGAGAGAGAGAGAGAGAGAGAGCCAAGTTCAGGGCTGTTCCGACGGATTCTACGCGAGTACGCAACGCTTGGACTCGTGCACGGGGTTGAAAGGTCTAGCGATGTAAATTTTAATGCAGGTTTTTAGGTGATTTTTAATAGTCCAATAATTCGATGTGAGATCATATCCGATTCGATATTTTTCATATTCATGAAAAGTTAATTAATGCGCAACGAGAATCAATGAGAGTCATGAAATAAACATTTTGAAAAGGAACATTGCCGCAGGAAATTGAGTAACGTTTTTTAAGTAACTGGCGGAAGCTAATTTTTTACCTTCATATTGTTTATAAAAATTAGCTTTAACAATAACCTACTCACTGATTAGTAATTACATTTTGTAGGTACTTTTCGCTCAAAATACAACAACATATTTTCACCACCAGTGAGCTAAATATAATGCAATACTTAATTTATCAAATTCTAATAATAAGAATCCAGTAGAAAAATATTTGCCTCGTTGCTTCGACTCAATCGATTTGATAAAAAATGTTGATGTCTGGATTATTATTTGGCGCAAGACGCGTCCATAGCAAAATAAGACGCGCCTACTCGTACTTTCGTGCTTATATACGATGTACACCGATGTATAATACGCATTCGCGCACGCATAATCACACACGCACGAAACACATCGGCAGCATGTGCATGTGTATCATAACGGTACACGTATTATATATATACGATCGAAGCGCGTTAGTCCGAGCGCGCAGAAAACACCAAGTCGACGTCGCCTCGCCGTCGACTCGTGCGAGAGAGCTGCGAGAGCCAAAGGAAATCGAGATTCGTTATTATATGATAGATCGGGTAGCGTACAGTTTGACAGGACGCGGCTGCCGTTGCTGCCACCGCTCCTGCTGTTGCTGCAGCTCGATCCAGCTCACCCTTGATATGGCCGCGTTTAGTTGCGCCACAGCCAACACACGGCACAGACACACACACGCACACACGCGCACACGAACAAACTCGCTATGTATACGCAGAGATGTTCGAGGAAGGGAAGGAACAGGAAAGACCCTTCTTTCTCGTCGTCTTCCTCCTTTTTTCTCTCTCGGACCTCGTGGGGATTTGTGCTTGTATATAATATTATATATATAAAAGTACACGCGTCAAATGGATGTAGCGTCGGGAATATAAGGGGAAGAGTAAAAGGGGGAGGGCGAAATAACCATTGATGCTGGGCCTCGTATAGCTCGTGCGTGTGCGTAAAATACAATCTATTGTGTCACAGCAACCAACCAGGATTAGCGAATAAGTTGAACGAAAACGCGTACGTCTACGTGTGTCCCTGCCACGCCCTTTTTATTTTCACCGGTCTGGACAAAAAAGCTTCTCGCTGCGAGTACCTATTAATTCGGAAAAAATTCAAAACGATCGAGATCGTACACACACAAACACGGGAGCCGCTAAAAGCTCACGAAAGTCAGCGTCGAGCGACAAAAAATTTGCCCTGAAATTCAGCAAAATTGTTACGTTAATCGCTTATCGCGCACGCAAATCAAGCGGGGCGCACGAAAAACAGCATCGAAGAAAGCCGCGCAGAGAAGAAAAGGAGCGAAGAGAGTAGCTCTCATGCGTGAAGCCACGACGGCCAGTGCACGAAGACATACATTATATATTAGCTTTTATATATATAGGGTAACCCGATCGTCCAGGACGATAACGATCCGCAGCGAAGGCTGCGCAGCGCGCACGGCGGGGACATTTCAGAACTTTCGGCCCAGAGACGTTGCGAGCCGCGCGCACCTTTCTTTTTCTCCTCTTTTTGGCATGGGCAACAAGTTGCGGAGTCGCCGCATTACCACGAAGAGCACATACACACACACATTTATTTAAATTCAAAGTTAGATAAGGTCATATGTGCCACGCGATTTTTGTGCACGTTGAAGCTTTATCAAGCGAGCAACAGACTGGAAGAGCTTGCATGTCAAGTTGCAGTATATAAACGCTATGTACGCGCATTTTGCATGCGAGTGTGTGTGTGTGTGTGTAAACCCTCATCATCGAGTCGTTGCTATTCGCTTTATTTATTCGATTATAATGAGATTTTAAGAGGGCGCATACGTAAATGCCCTGCATAATTCGAACTCTGACCACTTCGCGATATTGTGTGCGAGTGCATGTGTTGTTCCGCGCTATTAAAGTAAATTGAGCTTCTCGAGGTCTTTTCGAGGCAAGAATTTTCAGGGCTTGCGCGTTTACACAGTCTCGTATGTACGTGAGTATATGAACTCGTAGCAGCTCAGTGAATCCGAGAATGATGGGGGTCGTAGAGCTTTTATTGCCTCTCTCGATCGCGAATGCATTATTGTGATTAAGAGCTTGTGTTTTTTTTTCTCCTTTTGCTTTCCTCCGTTCTCTATATACCTACGCATAGATGGGCAAAGCTAGAAGTGCTAATATTTTTATGCCCCTAATAAAGTCAATAAAGTTTTTTGTTCTTCCATTGTAAATCATTTTAGAATTAGTTGAATATCGCTCTAGCTGTAAATTCAAAGTATTATACTATTGAAAATCAACTAAAAATTCCCGATTCGTAACGAGTGGACGAGCAAATTAAAAATAATCAGAACGTTTTCGTATATACTCGGAGTTGACGAACAAAGCAGCGTTGATTAGCGAAACGACAAATATACGCTACGTATATGGCCAATTAAAAATTGCTTAGCAAAAAAGCCTCATGTAAATATAATGACCGAGTGACGTGCTTGGTTGTGTCGCAAAACTTTACAGCGGCCGCACCGTTGAATTTGTAATGTTTTGCATACGAGTACGAGCTCATTGTGAAAAGTTGGAGCTACTTATATGCAGAATTAAAATAAATATTATAGTGCGTGCGTGTGGCGATGTGTGCAATCGATTATTCGATGACACGATACGTCAATATATAAAGTAAGCCGCGCCGTAAGTCGTTGGCCGTAATACATACCGCTCTCGTCTACGCACATATATATACGAGCGCGATATCAAAACAATAGATTACGTAAATTATTCTTGACCTATAGGTAAAAAAAATTTTTACTCGGAACTATTTGTATTTTTGGTTATTTTTCGACGACAGATCCACCTTCGATTAGTGCGAATATCGAACGTGATTCTCGGGAGTGCGTGACAATCGCGACGAATCTATCTCGAACTAAGCAAAAATTTACAATATCTTACTCGAGTCCCCGAGAGCGATAGATAAAAGAATGCTTTTATCGCGACGTACACAATTATATTAGCGGCTTTTTTGTGCGTAATTTTAACCTCGTTACTTACGAGCGCGGCGGCGCATCGAAAGTCGAAGGTAAATCGCGATGAGGCAACGATCGCGTATACATTTGCATATTAACCTTTGGAAGCGCATATATACGTCTGTTTTAAGTGCGCCGAGAAATGCGCTGTGCGCGAGATCTATTAGCGATTCGCGAGCGTTGATTGCTGACTTATTGCGCCACTTGAGACTCTCTACGACTCGAACGCGATCCCCACCGATCCGCCACCGCGTATAGAGGGAAAGAGAGAGAAAAGGAGCTGCGGTGGTACAGACGCACTCACACGCACGCACACAAGCACACACTTGTCGCGCATATTTGATTTATAGTCTTGGGTACCGAGACTGACACGCCACTACGCTTCCGAATCGCGAATCATGCGCGTTTCCTTCTCCAAGGATACTCGCGTCGGGCGTTTATCGTCCTCTTATCTCTCGTTTCGCGAATTTCCGATCGTCGCGGCGCGTTACGAGAGAATAAAAATCGCTTGTCGCGCGCTCGCTCCTGTATGCGCATATGAGAGAGATGCTGCACAGTTAAGCCTAGGCAATTGCAGCTTGATAGATTCCACTGCTACCGTTCGCGCGGATTAACGACTGCTTAATCGCTTAGAAAATATTCATAGAAGAAATAACGCGAGCAGCGGCTGGGGCTGCAGATTATGTTTTTTTTTTTTTTTTACAAACTCCGTCGCGTTACACATTGCGAAGCGAGTTCGTTAGCTGTCAATTTTTTACCTTATTCTCGTATGCGACGAATACGTAAGTTCAGCGAGCTTCGTGGCTATTTTTAATGAATAATCTGATATATGGGTGATAGGAATCAATAATTTTTTTTCCGTCGATAAGATAACGTTGAACGTGCAAAAATCAAATAATCTTTAGCAATAATATATAGCAACAATAAAAAAAAAATTTTTTTTTTCTTGTACAATAAATTTAATCCTCGATATATTCAATTACGCAGATCAACCTACGTTCTACGTAATTTTCACGAGCGTATAAAAACTGTCGTGTAGCGTTGTTATCCTGTATTTTTGGAATATAGCATATTTTAAAGTCATTATTGAAGAGCATTTATAATGAAAAAGAACATCAGTAATTCATTGACGCTGCAAAACATGTGTCGGTACTCGATATGTAAGCAAATTCTTTCAAAATCGTGTTATCCCCGAAGGATCGCGTGGCTATTTCAAGGAAGAATGAGAACTGGTAAATATCAGCTTCAGTGGATGATGCTGCAAAAATAATCTCTCATTCTCTCTCCCATAAGCGCCGTTTCCCATCGTCGCGATATCGCGTCGGGCGCAGCAGTCGATTCGTCGCGTTCTATTGGCACCGTCGCAAAAACCATCGAGATTTCTAGCCAGGCAATTTCACGCCTGCTAAATCAATTGACTTTGATACGCTCCTGTGAGTTCTATCGACTGCGGTGAGCGCACCATATCGCGACTTTCGTTACTATCGTGCATTGTATAGCAATTTTGCTAAAGGACAAAAGTAATTATTTTACCTGCTGGTTTGGGCACGTTCCTCTTGACTTGCATCCATTTGTAGGTGGGATGACTCGGCTGACGAGTCGGATGCTGCGTCGAGCCCCCAGAGCCGTGAGCCTCGGCCGCTACTACCGATCCAGGAAGATGATGATGATGGTGCATCGACACGCGCTGCGGTATCATTGGATTCGTTTGGCCATGATACGCCGACAGACTCGTGTGCTCCGAGATCTCTTCCTTGAACTGTTGCGGGGGCGTGTGGCTCGTCAAGAGCTGCTGCTGCTGCTGCGAGCCGTAGTTCGCGTGCCTCACCAGCGAGCCGTAATGGGTCGTCGGATGATCCTCGCGCGGCGATAACTGGTGCAAATTATTGTACGTCTGGACTAATGGGTAATCGTTCGATTCGTGACTAGATTGATGCAGCTGACGAGGCTGCTGCTGCTGCTGCTGCGGCTGAGGCATTTGATCCGGCTGACTGCTGTTGCAATTTGCACCGCTAGCTGTGCTAGCCATGTGATGCTGATGCTGCAAAGTCGCCGCAGCCGAATGCCGATACCGCTGATCCTGTAGGTAAACCACTTGTTGGTAGTTTGACGTGTGCTGTTGCTGTTGCTGCTGATCGCAAGCTGATGCAAAGCCCGACGACGAAGTCGACGCGTAATCCAAATTTGTGTAGCACAAACCGTTTTCCGTCGATATGATGGCTGTGCCATCTTCGTTCGTCAGCGGCATCGAATTCGATTGCGTCACCTGTGCTTGTGGCTGTTGCTGCTGCTGCTGCTGTGAGTAATAAGCGGACGCCGTGAGAGGCGGACTACCGGTCGAGGTACTGCTCGTGTCTCCCAGGGCGTCGCTCGTCGTGGCGGTGCTGCCGCTGGAGGTCGTGGCCGCCACGGCGGGATAGACCGCCGACGATCCGATCGCCGATTGCGGCGGGTACTGCTGCTGGATCGGATAGTGCACCGCGCTGGAGGCCACAGCCGCCGCCGCAGCAGCCACGGCCGCGAGCTCGGGCGGCGAATGCGCTACGGGAGACCGTCCGACGGTCGTCGTCGCGGTCGGCGAGTGCGACAGCTCGTACATCTGGCTCGGGTACTGCGAGTGGCTCGGGTGATGGTACGGATGGTGGTGGTGGTGATGGTGATGGTGACCGCTCGTGTACGCGTAACTGGAGAATGCGTCGGGCCTAGCGTAGCCGTTGTACATGCTCATGTCCATCGTCATCGTTTCCAAGACCGATACGATTTTTACGTGCCTCGATCGTAGTAGTTGCGTGCCAAATCAATCGATTGCTCGGTCGATCGGCTTGGCGCGCGGCCCTCGACTGGCTCCTCTATCCCGGGCGCCTATACCCAGACGATGCTCAACATAAATGATAAAAGTTTCACTCGAGGATCGATATTCGCCTCGTCGACGCTTTCCCACTGAATTTTTAACTCATTCGCACCACTATTTATAACAATATTTGAGGTATTAGTCACTTTTACTCGAACGCACTCGTCAACTCGATTAGCACAATCAACATCACAATTATTAAATCCGTGTTTAATTGTAAATAAACAGATCGGAAGCACTCATGAATGGGGCGATACGACACGGGTCAGCGGTGCTGGTGTTACCTGCTCGACAGGCTTGAGCGAACTGACACTACAATAATCTGCACATGTGAGCTAGGCTAGCGAGAGAGAGGCAACTCCGACTGGTCGCACACGCCGCATTCCCTTTCTCGTCCCCGCTCGATATGCGCGGTCTACTCCTATCCTTGTTCAACGCGTCGTGTATGTGTAGCAAATAGCATTAGTGTGTGGCCACTGAGTGAGTCTTGAAACGTATATGCCAGCAGTAGTCGTGTGTGTGTGTATGTAGCGCAGGCGTAATACAGACTGGAATGGTCGAAAGCGTATAGCAGAAGGCAAGTCGAGGCGCGCGCGCGCTAACCAAAGAGAGGCGGGACTAAGGCCACGGAAGCTTACTCGGGGGTGGAGTCTTCCAGCCAATGAGAGCGCGGACCAATGCGCCGCGTGATGGATCGGTTCTGCTTACGTCGAGCAGCACAGCAGCAGTGTCGGTGCAAAAGCATATATATACGTGTTTGTATAATGTGTACGGCGAGCAAATAATTTTTTTTTCGCCTTTTTACTTTATCTATAATTTACAGTAAGGTTGGCCGTCGGGGAGCCGTGTACGTGCGTCACACGATCGAGACGCGAGAAAAAAGCTGTACGCGGTGGGGACACTCTCGACGCGCGTATAAATTTTCTGAATGAGTAAATCTTCGCTCTCGATGAAACGTACTCTTGTACGCATCTGCATCCGACTGACGAGCGAGTATCAAATTTTTGCGAGATCGAAGTGAGAGCGCAAAAGAGAGAGAGAGAGAGAGAGAGAGGGAGGGGAGACAAACACGAGAGAGAGGTCAGAGTGGTGGAATGAAATATATCACCGTACTTTAGCTCTTTCATACCTGTCTGGTCGTTTTAATTAAGAGAGACGTCTGACAAGTTCATCAGAGCCGTTGTCCATAGAAAACATGATGAGATATTAGCGGGGCAGACGACTTGTAAGATGTGTTACATCTTTACATGGTGAGCCTTATTATATTTATCCTCGCTCTCCGAACGATTATAAACACATCGAAGACGATATTATTTCAACGCCTCGCTCACGAAGCTGCAATAAGATGCGACGTTGAGTAAAATAAATGCATCTTTATGAATAAACTCCCGACTAAGCCCTAATCCCCTTTACTTTTAGTATCCTCTATGATCCATCATGTGACGCAGCATATTGTATTCTCATAGCAAATATTAATGTATGCGTGCTCTATTAATTAAGCTAAGTAAGTTTAAATAATGCCTTGTATCAAAATTGGAGTGGAGAAGAGAAAAATAATGGTCGGATTTCGACTGCGTGTCGAGCTCGTTACGTGCCCGCGCTGATACAGGCAACAACCTTCCTCGCACAAAAAATGTACGATCGAATAAGCACAGTGTGAAACATGACAATCGTGTAATATCTCCTGACGTTTCCTTATCCGCGGCCCTATCTGTGCGCGTCTCTGTCCTAAGCGCGTGCATATCGTCGTGCGCGCACGGCATATTATATGCTGCTGCTGCTGCTGCTACAGGGACATATTAAAGTCGAGCGACCCGAGGCGTATGTGAGAGCCGAGATCGTTGCTCGCAGATACAAGTCCATCCAATTTGTGCGACTTTCAGCCGTTTGGCACCGAGAGAGAGAGAGAGAGAGAGAGAGGCAGAGAGCACGAGGCCGATTTTTGGTAGCAGCAGCAGCAGCAGCAGCTCGCTGTGCTGCGCGTCAAATTCATCATCGGCGTGTCGTCAAAAACTCGACCCGACAATGCGTCGTGTGCTACGTCCGAAGTGAAAAAATAACGAGGGAATATCTGCGCACGAAAAAAACCGCTTCGCTAATGTATACCTTTTGTACGCGTTACACGTTATATATGTACGCGCACGGCTCAGCGATACAACTTTGAAAAATTTCCCCTTTTCCCCTTTGCTTTTCTTTCGATGCTATGGCGTACGATGAGCCATACAGGCACAGATCTATTTTATACCCGTAGAGCGTATGTGTGTCACAAGGATTTTTTTCTCGAACAATATATGTACGTATGCCATCGAGAGGTTTAAAATGGGCAAATATGCAGTACGAATTCGCGGCCATTTTCAAAGTCACGTTTAAGAGCAACGATCGACGAGCTCCGACGGATCACCCGAGTTCGCACCTTTCGAGCCGCGAGAACAACTCCGCCTCGTTTTCAAGGCATTTTCTTTGATTTTTGTGTTTTTTTTTAATCGTACGCCCCGTGACGCGGAAAGATTTTTCGGTCGAACTCGAAAATATTCGGCTAGAATGCCGGGGTAATCGATACATAGGCACTCGTGCATTGCGGAAGTGGCAGTATTCGTGAACTCACTTCTGCGCGACCCTGTCGCTTTAACTTTAGCCGAAGGATTTTGATGCGGCATCGAGAAGGAATGTTTCTCTCTAGCCCATCGAGTTAAAAAATATATAAAAGTCCGAAGGAAGATTTTGACTAGTCCCGCAGTGATTGTCATGAGGTGCGGAGGATCGGCGACGTTGCGAGTGACGATATGATCAGACATGTCTGCGCGACTACACACAAATCGCGACTTTACCTGTTATGTGTGTATAATATCATATTGAACACATCTACGAGCGATCACACACAACGCGAGAGGTATTCATTCGTGCGCGTATCCAAACATAATCCGAAAAACATACGCATATTTATATTCATATAAGCTCGGGTCTTGATTTTGATGTGTGACGAGCCCACCGCGACGATGATCATCTTGACGATCTCATCGATGATGATGAAGACAAATGATATGCGCGAAAAAGACGGATGAAAACTGGAAAAGAATTTGTATATATATGTGTGTTCGCCGCGCAACACATCCATTCGTAGCTGCCCGTGTGATTCTCGCGGAGGTACTCGCGCAAGCGCGGGCTATAGTTTTGAGATTTGATATACGGGATTGCGATATGTGTGTGTGTATTATATAGAGCCAGAGAAGTTGGCGCCTGGCCGATGAAAATATCGATTCGTATCGAATTAAGTGATTCATATGTGTATATTTTTTCTCTGGCCTTTATACTTTCATGCCGTGCGATCGTATAAAAAAACATCGCTTCGATACGCGCCTTTGTCGCGCGTTGCGCAAAATCGAATGAATTTTCCATACGCTCGCACGCTTCGATTCTCGATGTGTATATTGAATATACTTTGCTCGAGGATTAAGACCTATATATCGGGTGCGATATGCAACGAGCGAACGATCCGAGCCATAAAGAGAGAAAGAAAGGGACGTGCACGCAAATAGCCGGACAAACGGGCTTCTGATGCAGACGCGAGCATGAGAGCGCGTGTCGATCCTCGGAGACGACGGAGACGACAAAAATGACTAAAACAAGCCAACGAGCTGGACGTTTCAAGTCCACAGACAACGTAACACACATTCCAGGGCCTTTAAACTTTCGCAGGATACTTATACGTATGTGTATTATATATTTTATATAGCTCTTATAAATCGAAACGAGCTGTACGGTATAAGTTTATTAAATAATTTAATATTTTTCCTCTGACATTGACTAATTTTTTTATTTTCAAAGCTTATACGATTTTCGTATTCATAATAGATGATGCTAATTGAGAGCGCCAAGATCATTACCTGCGGTAGAGTATTTTCTTTTTTTGAAAACGCAGACACGCGCGCTCGCTCGAGTTAAGCGGCAAAGAACTGAGAAATCAAGCAACGTGTATCGAATTAGATTTTAATTATTCATATACTGGCGCCTGTATACATGTACTGTAAGCTTAGTAATTCTCTCCCAAAAGTCCGAGCAATGGATCATCTCGTTTACAAGACACATACTCATACTTACACGTGTTCGAGTGTAGTACACGCACGAAGATGAATTTATTTATATTCCTCGCGACGGTCGCATTCCCAAAGTCGCAACTTACAACGAGCCAATCTCCAAATCTTAGCAGGTCTTTAAACAATTGCTTCACGGCGCACAAATGTATATATATGCGCGCAGCCCAATACACGCGAGAGGCCTTCGTGTCCGCTTGTCCGTATGCGTGTGTATATTTTTTCGTGTTTAAGCGATCAAGACACTCTTTGTGAATACTCATCATCTCGGGCAGAGGCATCGGTGTTCTCTTTATGCGGAGAGCCCACGAGGCATATCTCTGGCGTTTTGGCGCCACGCTGAGCGCGCCGCGTACGACTTTTGACGTAAGACGAGGCACCTGCATTGTCATTCTGCACGAGCTACGACTGTCACTCGTGCCTCGAGCCACACTAGGACATTGAAGGAAGAGTAAGAGTAAGAAAGAGAGAGAGAGAAGAAAAAGTGTATATTTTTTTAGCAAGTTACGCGTGCGCTTGTCTTGTCGCAGATTTTTCGATCTCACTCCAAGCGTAAGAGAATGAGAATTTTTTGACGTAAATTGTACGCATAATAACCCCGGGAGCAGTTTTTGCATGCTATTTTTACAATGAAATACCACTAATTCAATTAAAGCTCGCGAAGATTTGAGCGGGTGGTCAAGTGGTTTTATTTTTTTTTTTGAATTTTGACGCCTTCAGAGCAGAAGGTGTCCAAAAAGTCATAGAGATTATTTCAATTTTAATGAGCTGACTAATCTCATTCAGTTAGTATAAGAGCCTTTAGAGTGCTACAAAATCAGCTAAGAAATCCCGGCTAATAAACGCCTTTAATTCAGTGATTGATTTATATAATTAGGTCATTATTAAAAGAATGCATGTATATTACATCCAAAGTGAAAGACTTACATTTACATGTTTAAAGATCCCATTAGTGAGAGGCGTGGAAAACCTAATGATAATTCGCCGGTACAATCAATTACATTAGACCACTGTCATCAACAGCTATTATCAAATAACCACAATTATAATCGATCTACTAAATCAATATTTATTTACGAGTTTCTACAAATAAGTCTGACAGTAATTCACAGCTTACGGCACCTGATTTGGCTACTTAAAATACAAACTCGCGACTTTGTTTGCTTAAATAAACATACGCTCAGAGGACATTGGCCATCTAGAATCAAAATCGATCGAGGACATAGATCGGACAGCTGTATAATGGCCCTGATCAATAATAAAAACTACAATCGCAATTTTACCGAGAAACCGCAAAGATGACAGAGAGAAAACCGATGGAAAAGATTCCGTCCTGACTTTTTGGCACCTGGAGGACAAAAAATAATCGAAATGAAAATAGTCAGAAGTCCGACTGCGCGCCTCGACTCGGCTCGAGCTGGAGCCAGATCGAGC